AAGGCTGGCCACGGCCCCGAGGAGGAGGAAGCTGGCCACGGCCCCGAGGAGGACGCAAGGCTGGCCACGGCCCCGAGGAGGAGGCTGGCCACGGCCCCGAGGAGGAGGCTGGCCACGGAAAGGCGCGGGTGAGAGAGTGCAGAGCGGAAAACTGAAGGGAAGGACATCCATTCGCAGAAATAAGTGCCATTTAGCCGCAACACAAAATAGCGAAATATCATATTAATATACTTAACTTTGCCTTAATAGCTTTTTAAAACGATGATGTTTGGGTCGGTGGCCCCAGGGCGCCTCTCTCACTTGGACTGTTTCCCAAAAGCATCAGCATTAGAATATGACTGGACCTCAGAATGACCAAATCCATTCACATCAGATTCATCAGCTGCTTCTTTCCAGAACTTCCCTCTGTGCTGGACGTGCAATGAATCCATCCAAGGGCTCATCTGATTCTGTTCTGTTTGTCAGCAAATCCACAGTAAAAGTAAAAGATGATTCAACTACTTTCTAACAATCATCCTGGTTGTGGGTTGAAATGTGCCTCCCAACAGTCAAATCCTCCTCCTACGTACAGAAATACAGCCATATTAACCTCAGAAGTCCAGTAAAACACACTAGTATCTGGTATCAGTTTAAGGAAAGCCTGTGTGTGTGATCACTGCCGTCACGTGGCGTGATCACTGCAGTCACGTGGCTTTCCAAGAAATGTACTGGCAAAATGTGAAATTTTAATGGGAAGGAAATTAGTTTTCATTTATCATAAAATCAGAAATAAATGGACCTCATTGTCAATTTTGTGACGTTATTGATGACGCAAGGTACGAATGAGCCTGGGACAGTGTTCTGGCATCCCAGCCCAGACAGTCCTTGATAAAATGTAAACCTCGACACCTCAAGCTGAAGGCAGCATTCTGTCATGGAATCTCAAAGTCCAAGGCCGTATTGTATAGCCTAAAAGCGTAACACCAAGAATGCAACATCACGCATCCAGCATCAGCATTAGTAACTGAGTAAAAAGCTTGTTATACAATCGCACTTTATACTTGTGGAACTTTAATGTGAATTGCGGGTTCACATGCAATGCCATGTGCCGTAACCATGACGGCCACCCGTAGCGGCGCACAGGGAGCAGGGGGTTGAGGGCCTCACTCAAGGACCCGCAGACTTGCTAAGGCTGGTTTGAACCGGCGACCTTCTGATTACAGGCACACAGGCTTAGCCCACTGAGACACATGCTGCCCCGGGACGCCGCTCGTTTATCAAGGTGCCGTGGGGTGGGGTTACCGTCGGGGAGGCATTGCAAAGAGTCGCCTTTCCTTACACGTTTTCGACACAGCAACACAGGATGTCGCCACTTTGGGCGAAACCCGGCTAGGATTTGTGTATTCACACTAAATGTGTCCTGATTGAAGAGGAGAGGTGACAGAAATGCAGACCATACTTCAGGCTGATATAGTCCTAACATCTCTATAACTCAAGTGTTTCATTTCAAATGGTGGTCTATACGAAGATGACAACCCAACACCACACACACAAATGTTCAGCTTTGTTGGGTCTTTGACTAACTTTTCAGGTTGTGCGTGTTGCATTCTGAGGTGACTTCACTCTGGTGATGAGTAAAGCACCAGAGAACCAAAGACAGTGACCAAGCAACATCATCACCTGCTGTTCAAAGCACCCGATGCATCAAGACGAGGCTGCCTGACCTCTTCAGGGGGGATGTGAGTGTTTAGGACAGTCTACACCTGGGCTTTCACAGGGGAAGTACTGCATATGCAGGCTGCAGTGGTACAGTCAAGGATTCCAGTCCTGGATTTTAGGCTGTACTGGTTTTTATTGCAAGTAACCATCTAATATATTTGACCGGATTGAACCGTTAAACACTGCTAACCAGGGAGTCGTACTAATTAATTACAGGCTGCAGAGAGAAACATTAAAAGGCTTCCGACGCAAACACCATCTTTTAATCCATCTTATGGAATTTGTTTTCAACCTTGAAACAAAGCAGCACTAATTAGCATTTCATCAGTCAGTGCTCTCAAGCAACGAGCCTCCGGAATAATAAAGTGAACAATCCATTAGCTCTGAGTACATTTCACTCTCTCACAAAGGGACAAACACATTCATGTGTATCATACATGCATTTCTAAGAAAAGCATGTGAGCTAGAATCAGAGGGTGTCACTGTTTTCAGACTTTAGGCATGAAGTTAAATCTTCTATAGATTTTCCAGACAAAAGAGAATTTAATCAAGAGAGTATCTGAAGTGAGGCAGTTAACAGCTGGACTGAAATGTGACCCAGGAAACTCACTGAATATTACTGCTTGGGTTCAGACTGGTGATCCTACTCTCACAGGTCCTGTGAGGCTTCTGTCGGCCCATCAGAGTATCTGGGTTGACCTCATAAGTCATTAAGACCCCTTGGTCTTCCTGATCATGGCTTCCATCACAGCCCACTGTTCCTTGGTGACCTATGAAGAGGAGAAATCTTTCACACGTGAGCTGAAGGCGGAATCAAAGTGTCTCCATGTGTACGTGTTGGGAGGGTGCAGGAAAATCAAGATAAAAAAAATAAAAATGTAGCAAGCTAACCTTCTTTAGGTCATTGAACTCGCCAGCCATTGACACAAACTCTCCACCGTCCATTCGAATGATCTGGACATGGAAACAAATGTTCAGTAGAAATTACTGCAACAAAGGGCACAATTCTGAGTAATAAACCACCATCAAGCTGATGAAATCACAGACACCGGCATTTATGGCATAATTCTCACACCGTCTTTTATAAACCACACATGCAGTAAACCACGTGCGTGTTGAATGTTCACGTTCACGACTCCACATGACCTTTCCGCAGCAGCTGAAATTTAAGAGGCCCTCTGAGAGCCAGAGGACGCTGCTGTAGCCAAGGTTCCGGACAGTGCAGGGCCGGGGCCGTGGCGAGGGAGGGGGGCACGTACCGCTCCAGTCACCCAGTTGGCGTAGTCGCTACACAGGTACGCTGCCAGGTTGGCGATCTCCCCAGGGGTCCCCAGTCTGCCCACTGGGATCCGGTCTATCATGGACTTCTCAAACATGCCTGCTGGATCCAGTCGGCTGAAAGCTCCCTGCATCGACAACCGATCGATAAAACCATCACTTCAGTCAACGTCTCCCAGAGACGTAACAGCTGACATATTCACATTCATTTCTCCTGTGGACAATAACCGCAAATAAACTGCAGAACCAACCTTGGTCTTTATGGGCCCAGGCTGAATCACATTGAACCGCATGCCGTACCTCCCCCACTCTGCTGCGAGAGACCTGCGGGGGCACAAAAACCGGATGGAGTCGGAGCGACGGGGCACGAGTGAAGAAAGCCTTGTCGATTTGCTGTTAAACGGCACCGACGCCTTGAAAGATCCCGCAGAAACAGCAGTCGGCCCATTTAATGCACATTCATCATTCTTCCTGCACAGTGAGGCATGGGTGAGCTAGAGGCAGGGGTGAGCTAGAGGCAGGGGTGAGCTAGAGGCAGGGGTGAGCTAGAGGCACTGAGCTGAAAATACCTCCCTCCACAAATCCATTGAAGCCCTTAACGGGGCAGTAATTCTTAAATAAAGGGAATAAAACCATTTATGATTTGTGAAATCGCTCAATTACTGCACCTCAGTAGTCAGCGGCACATCATCAAACCGGCCGACGTAGACGGGAGAAAAATGAGGAGCCTTTACTGTATGACCATCTCAATCAATTTCCACAGCGTCATAGGGGGCCACGAATTTATTCTCTCTTCTCAGGCGAGTGATCTCCTGTAGAGTAACGTCATTACGGGACAATGGCCCTGGATATGGGAGGGACAAGGGGGCCATTAGAAAGCGACCCCGAGCTGGGAGAGACCTGGCCTGACCTTCACCATCCGCCACAAGGGCAGCTGCACACCAACAAAAGCCAAGCTGGAATTCGACGTAACATAGACTGTAGATGTGAATTTGTGCCAAACTGATTAACGTTTAACTCAAATGATCTCGGAAAATTTCAGCAAGATTAAAAATTTACTTTTTTTATTTCCCATCATCAGTTTAGTAACTAATTCAATCATGCCCTTGAGGGCAGTCCTGCCCATCTTCAAGAAGACACACCAAACGCCCAGATGCTGATAAGCTGGTGGATAACCCACAGCACACACACCCAGCTCAATCAGCTTATGCATGTGTACGGTCGAGCAGAACCTGGCACAGACTGGCCAGCGATCCAAAAAGACAAACCAAAGTGTGCATTAGTGACAGGTTGTGTGGAACGGCTGAAAATCTGCAAGATGTCCCCAATTCTAACTTTAAGCCAGGTGTATAATCCTGAGCCGTGTGGGTGAGCGTCAGGCTGCATAAACCCAAGACTGTAGAGCCTTACGTGCACAGGGTCTCCACCCCAGACTTGGCAGCAGCGCTGGGCACCACAAACCCGGAGCCGCTCTCGGCGTAGATCGTGGTGATGGCCAAGAAGGCAGCGCCTGGAACACAAGCTCAGGTCAGCAGGCAGCAGGAGGGAGGCGTGCGGCTGCTTTAAGGGTTAATGGACGTCATTCATGCTCAACACCAGGGAACAGCAAGAGTCAGGTACCGGAGGAATCTGATGGACCAGAACCCAAACAAACAGCGCACTGTACATTACAACAGGTCCTGGGGTATTTAGAAGCGACACACCGGTTGTACGGGACATAGAACAACACAGTCTTAGTTACAGGCTGAAGCACATAACAGCGTGTAGCGGGGGCTGTTCCGGGAGGGGCGGGGCCCCTGTGACTACATGCATGCCCCCCACGGCCACCTGAAATGTCGTAAGCACATCTTACGATTCATCTGCCCTCCCCCCTAACAGAACAACTGGCCCCCAGTTGAAATGGCTAAAACTTCCAGTGCTGTGCAGGTGGGGCTTTTCTATCACCCAGCTTCAGAAACGCCTGACATTCTACAGTCATTTAGCACCACAAATCAAGGCTCCTTCTAGGCCACGATAAAGCGAGGGGCCTTATCAGACACAGCGCAGACAAACCGCTAATTACAATTATCACTGGAAGTTTCTGCATTTTGCCGAGAAGCCAAAACAAAGTGAATGAAAAGGAAGCTGATTGGCGAATATAACTGTACATTACGGGCACTGGCAGCGTTTTCCAAGTTCCGAACAGAGACGAAAACACAGACTGGCACAGAGCACACAGATGGCAAAGAAGCCTCCAGTCGCTGCGCCCCCTGCTGGCTGGCATTCATGCAAGATGACGCAGCGGGGACACGCGGAAAGATTCGGCACCCCCCTGTGGACACGTCGCCTTCCCAAGACGTGCCGTGAGACAGATAAGTGATAACGCAGTACAGCGGCAGCCAAAGCAACAGAGTCTGGCGTCCGGGTGACCAGGGGGGGGGCTGCGATCGGACCCGGCCCCTCAATGCGCTTACATTCGGATTCTCTCACAGGCAGGGCAGCTTGACAAGGGCGGGGGAGTGAGGCCAAAATCAACACGGCTTATGACACGCCACCTTTCTTGCTTTCAGCGTGGCATCAGTTGGCTGCATTGACCCCCAATCCGTGATATCATCAAAATGCAGCCATCGAAGACACAGCTCTTTACTGCCCCCTGGCTACCATTTTACATATAAACACAGATGCTCTTTGCTTTACCATGGTGCAACTTAAAAGAATTTTGACTTTCCGATGGTGCGGCAGCGATGCACACTAAGGAGTCATCAGACCAGATTTTGAATTTACATCTGTTCCTTGGTTAGCAATGTGCCGTACGATTCCTTCTACTGATGCAGGGGAGGGCAGCGTCTATGCAGCCACGCTTCCAGTCCCTGTAGCGATAAACGCTCATACGGTGTTTAACGATGCATCATAGGGTTATTTTATTTATCATATTTGGCTTACAATATTTTCAACTTACAATGGGTTCATCAGAACATAACCTCATCGTAAGTGGAGTAGCATCTGTATGTAAATGTGTGCGTATATTGTATACATGTGTGTTTATGTATGTGTGCATGTTAATATATATTATGTTGATAAAAAAAGACATACATGTTTGACTTGCAAAATGCTAGCAAAAACAAGCTCTTTACTCCCCCTAGTGGTAAATCAAATGCATGTCTTTTAGATTCCTTGGCACATTCCTCAAACTGATCCCACGGAGATAGGAAAATGTATTAAGCTGCCATTTGTTTACTAGACAGTGACAGGAACATCTCCCATTCATCCTTTACCTCTCTCTGCCTTTATCAACCGCTTTCCAACCTCCAGGGTGACATATGCAGTGCCGTTCAGGACAATGTCCGTTATTGTTCTCCAGGCGTTGGGAGAGAGATTCTCCGAGGGGGAGATGAAGTTTCCGGCAGCGTTGTTTATCACAACCTTTTTTTGGAGGGGGGAGACAACGAAATAAACAGCAGGACAAACAGAGTACAGAGGACTATTTTAGATAACTCTACAACTAACAGAACTAAGGCTTGACAGAAAATCAAGAGTCTGTGATAATATTTCACCCCCACGTACATCTGGCAAACCTGCGACACCGACCAACTCTGTGACGGCGGCCTCCACAGACGCCGGGTCCCTCACGTCACACTGGACGGCGTGAACCTGCCGACACAGAACATCACAGAACTCTCTCTCAACCTCACAGAACTCTCTCAATTTCATTTCAAATCAAACAGCTGCCTGTCATCGTGTAAGTGAGGGCTGGGTCATCACTGTGACCTTATACCCGACAACAGCTATGAAAGATGGATTATTTGGCATTCTGAGATATTGCAAATAATATACAAACGAATGGTGAGACCAAAAACAGCAAGTAAGTGAATTGTCAGAACTGGTACCTTATTTCCTGTCTGTTTTGTTATTTCCTCTGCAGTTTGCTTTAAAACATCCAGTTTTCTAATAACAAACACAAGAAACAGTTAATTACTAGTACAAAGATAGATAATAGAGTATCACGTGAAATTCCTTCAAAGGAGGTGCGCATTTACCCAGCGGGTACAGGGTGAATGTCTAGTAATTAACATTCACCTAAAGAGACTTATCAACTATTCAGAACTTTCCTTGCCACTACGGCAACAGATTTGAAGAGTCTAAATGTCGCTGGCATAAGTGGGAGCATAATATGATAATATAGAGCAGGGTTCTTCAAATCTGGACCTCGATTACAAATCCAGGCCTTGTTTTCTGTTCTCCCATGTAGTTAGTTTAATAATTACTGATTCTGATTGGTCAGAGGCTTCACGCCTGGCTCACAGGTAAAGGAAGGCTGGAAAACCAGCAGTGCTCGGACCTCGAGGACCGTGATTTGAATAATAGGGATATAGAGTATATAGCGGGTATTAAAGAGCGCCAGCTTAGGATGAACTACCGCTATTGCCATCTAAAAACGGGCAAAGGCGGAACCTGCTGGCGATGACACATTCGGCGCCGAGAGCAGACAGCGTGCCGGCCATCCCCTTGCCAAGCCCTGTGCCGCCTCCCGTGATGAAGGCGACTTTATTTCGGAAGGCGTCTGGCCGCAGCATCACTCCTTCGTTCGGGGGGAAGAAGGCAGTCTGCGGGGCGCTGACCTGCCGCAAAGCTCCGCTCCCATCGCGCAGCAGCTGCATTAAGGAGGACCGGGTAAATCCACCGTGCTGGTGTGTGTGCTCTATTCCATTAGCTATCGTCATCATCATCATCATCATCATTAGTACTAGCATTATTGATTTATTTGCTAGACTGTTTTTTGGTTCTGCACTGCAACATTCCAAAATAGCGTGCAATATATCACGGTACATGCTCTGCATTTAGAAAATGACCGACCGGCAAAACTTCAAGTATAGTCATGTTGTTCTTAATGCACAATGGCAGATGAGAGCCACCAATTTAGGTGAGCAAACACGAAAATAAAAAGTCCTGGTAACACGGCAACAATGTGACTGCTAACTAGTTTTCAAGTTTTTGAAATTTTCATTCAAGCAGAGTTTCAATGCAGCACATTTTTGCACAATAATCTCACCCTTCTAGAGACAGCAGACGTTAATGGGAATGTCAATTTAAGTTTTCTCGCCCCACACACTAGCGTCCACGCCATGTCATCAATACGTGACTTTTCCCCTACTGCCTTTGGAGAGGACGTGTGTGTGTGTAAAGTGGGGTCTCTCTTCATTGGCTGACCGTCCTGTTAATCACGCCAAAATGCTACGCACCGCCCACTTTTCCCTGCAGGTCTCGCGAATGTTGATCGCTCATCTACACGAGCGCCGTCAGGGAAGGCGAGATCTGGTTCAAAAGCACAAAAAAAATGCAGCTGAGGTTTAAAAACTAATATTTAACATATTAAACCAGTGGCGGACCCATGGGGGATACACAGTCCCTTCGAAATCACCCCCCATTTTCGCTCTGACCGCGGAATTCAATTCTCCCAGACGTACGTATGGGATACATGAATCACTGCCAAATATTTTTTATGCACTTTTCTCTTCGACTGTCAAACTGAACCTGAACTGCTCCTAATAACTGCGCCATACACAACTTGCAGCTCTCAGTTACACCGCCAACGTTTATTTAAGGCCAAACTCGAAATTACATTTGGGAGAATTGGTAACCATAAGGGGACATATCATATCGCATTCCGTCACTCACGGAAATTAACATTTAATGGCAATAACCGCGGGTATTTTTGCAGCGCTGATTTACGGCAGGCGCGACGATGGGGGGGGTCGGGTCATGGGAAGCCGGAAGTGTCGGATATTTGCGACTGTTTCGCGGGAAACGTCGGGGGAGACGCGCCTGGATTATGTACAGTGGGAAACTGGGAATGCATTGCCAAGGGTTATGAAGTGGGAGATTGTTTAGTGAAGGATATTCATGCATATCCGCAAAGCTGACAAAGCAAACTGATTACTCAGCAACCAATGTTAGCAATATTAGATTTTACTAAGCGAAATGTGGAAACTGAAACCACTTGGAGATGGAGGTAAGTTAATGTCCCATGTAGGGAAAAAGAGTGCGCAGCTTTGCTCGTGCTTTCCCTGTTGATGCCTTGCTGTCGTGCACCTTTTTCGCAGTCTGTTATCCGTGTTCAGTAGCAAGTAAAGGAAACGTAAAATAGTGGGAATAATCATTGCTTAACGGGAATCTTAACCCACTTTGCATACGTGGCTTATCTCTGATTGTAAACAATCTGAAGTGTATCTTCATAAATTGACAGTTCATTTAAAAAAATATTTTTCATGCAACCATTGTTTCGGAAAAACTGGGGAGTCGGTGAATAATAATTGTATCAACGCACGTTTGCAGCTCAGCATAGAACCTGGTGTCTCAGCGGTCACGCATCTGGCGTGACACTCGTGTGTGCAGACTTGTCTCGAACTGAACGTCTCACGCCAGTCAGCTGACTACCGCTGGCAGCCATAGTGTCTGTCTGCTGTGAACAATTGCGCCGTATAAGCGTGCGGCCGGTTACTGTCGCCGATCTGCAGGGGAGCTGCACTGCCTGGTGGCCGGCGGAGAGTACACGGTGGGCCGGAAGAGCTGCGCAGTGCTGCTGCAGAACGACCAGTCCATCAGCCGCGCGCATGCGCGCCTCGCCGTCAGCCTGTCCGCGAGCGCCCGTCCCGTCAGTGCAGTTATAAACTTGTCTTCTGTGTTAGTTAAATATCAGCTAAAGCCTGTCATGGAAGGATAACTAGAAGAGGTTTTTATTTGTAACCGTTTTTCGTTGTTGCCAGCAGAATGTGTCCACGACGTTGACAGTGACCGACACCTCCAAATATGGCACATTTGTGAATGGTGACCAGCTGGCCCAAAACAATGCCAGGGTCCTGCAGAATGGTGACCAGCTGACCTTTGGGGTCTTTGAGAATAAGTTCAGGTGTGTACAGTGCTGTGGTGGGATTCCTATCTCCTCTGAATGCCACGTGCATGGGCGTGCCGCAGGACTCACGTCTGGGTGGCTAGGAGGACACTGGTGGCCTCAATCCCATCCCCTCCATCACATCAGCAGAAGTGCTTCATCCCAATTCCTTTTTTTTTCCTTCCATCTTCCGAAAATGCGTGTCCTGAATCTGGGGCCTTTCCTCAGCAGTATAAGAGACA